GTCCAGGGTGTGAGGGTCGTGAGGAATGCGAGCTCAGGATGAGGGGGAGGGGCTCAGGACGTCTCCGTGCCAGGATGGTGGGCGTGGGTGCTTTGCAGCTCAGGGGGCTCACAGGAGGCACCCGGCAGCAGCCACCGCCAGCTGGCCCCTACCGCCGCGGGGGGCCAGCTGCGGACCGACCCTGCGGCACGCCCGCCCACGGACACACAGCTCATAGCTGTCCGGCAGCACCCCGCACCCACCATGGGCGCACCCTGTGCAGGACAGCCGCTCCCCTCAGAGAAATCACACCACAACGCCACCGTGCGCTCCCTCGCTCTGACGTCATGCCCTGGCGCTTTACGCCGCGCGCTGCTGCATCAGCCCCCAGCCACCTCCGCCCCAGGCACCTCTCACCCACACCCCCCGCCCTCCTCCCACCGCTCGGCCGCACCACCCGCCCCGTCAATGGCTTGCCTCCCCTGTTTGCCCATCCCTACAACATCGCAGCCACACGAAGCACACACATGCACCACCCCGCACCAACCAGCCCCAGGGCGAACACGCGCAATGTCCACGCTCTCATCGCCGCCGCTCCCCCTCCCCCCCGGACTGCCACCCACAGCTTTGTGACGCCGTCCACTGTGCGCAGCTGCAGGATGAGGTCGTAGCTGCCGGGCAGGGAGTCCGCCGACGCGGCCTTCTTGGCCGGGACGTCAAAGACCACGGAGATGCTGACAAGGGGGGTGCAGAACAAAAGGGGGGAGAGTAAAACAGTGGACAGGTGGGAGGAGGTGCGCGTGACAGTGGGGCGCAGAAGGGGAAGCCGCAGCGGGGGTTGGCGGCGGCATGGACGGATGTGAGGGGGGACGGCGGCGTGGCTCTGCCGTGTGCGCTTTATAATGCACCACCTTCTGTCCGAGGTGGGATGTGCGTGGCTATGAGCAGCCGCAGGCTGCGAGCTGGGGGTGAGGATGTCACGGCGCGGCCGCGCCGGCCGCCCGCGGGCCAAGGCTCAGCCCGACGTGACAGTCGAAACACGCGTGAAACATGGGCAGCACCCCACCCCTGCATTCCCCCTAGCCCTCCCGCAGACAAGCCTCTCTCCGCTTCGTATGCACGCCCCGCTGTCACGTCCGCGCCTGTTCCTCTTGGCTAACGCGCTGGCCCCAGGCCGCCATAGAATCGTCCCAGGACTCACATCTCGTCGGGTCCCACAAAGCCCTGCACCACGCATGACGTGCTGAGGCCGCCCTGCAGCGCGCCCGGGGCCTTGGGGGTGGCGGCGAGCTTGCAGCCCGGCAGGTCCGCGAGCTTGATGACGCGGGTCGTGCTGTTGAACAGCCTGCTCTGCGCCGCCGCCGGCTGCACCCAGACCCATGCCAGCAGCAGGAGCAGCGCCGGCAAAGCCGCCACCGCTCGCGCTGCGCCACACCGGCTGTGCGGCGCTCTCATGCTGCTGTGCTGCTCGTCACCCGCGCACACCACGCGCCTGGTTCAAGGACAGAGAGCACTGTCGCTGCCCTCGGAGCTGTGAAGAGCTACACGTATGTATGATATAATTGGCTATCGGTCGCGTCCCGCGTGCGCCGGGCACACCGTGGGATGAGATGGGGGAATGGCCCACCTCGATCGGACCAAAGTCGTCAGAGTAGTGGGTCAAGAGCACTCTAACGGAGCTTATTGAAAACGCCTTATTGACGGGACGGGTTCCAAGGGAGTTTGGCCCCTTGTCACCCCGATGAGCAGTGCGTGTGGCACTGCCGAGCCCAAGCGTCCAAGAACCCACAGAAGCCGCCCTTCCCGGCAATGACAACACCGCGCTATCGGATTGCGTGTGGTTTACAACCTTGCTATGTTTGAGACGCATGCGTGTGGAGGACGAGTTCCCTACTCCCCCGACAGGACCATTAGTGCCCACAGGACCTTGTCATGCTGCTGCTCGCTGTACGCCCCCCGCGCGGCCGCCGCCTCCGCACGCCCCCGCGCAGCGTCCAGCCAGTCGCGCGGGGGCGCCCAGCGCGCGGCGGCGAGTAGCGTGAGTGCCAGCTGCAACCGTGAGCTGGGGTGGCGCGCGAGCCGAGGCGCGCATGCGTGCAATAGGGCTGCTGACGTGTCTGCGCCGGGGTGCCACCCCCACCGGTGCAGTGCCAGGGCCAGCAGGCCGACGTGCACAGGCTCTAGGCTGAGCGCGGCAGCACCCAGTGCCGGCTCCTCCTGCCACTGCTGCCGCTGCTGCTGCTGCTGCTGCTGTCGCTCCTGCTGCTTTCGCTGCTGGTGCTGTTGGAGCTCCTGCTGCTGCCCCAACGGCACTCCCTGGCCGGCAGCTCCAACCTCAGCCGCCGCCGCCGCCAGCGCTGCTGCCGAAAGCTCCTCCAGCCAGGCCGGGCCCGGGGCGGCGCCCGCGCGGCACAGCGCCGTGGCCAGCCGCGCCAGGCCCCCCGCGCCGCCGACCTCCCCGAGGCGCCCGGCGGTCGCGGCGAGCGCGGCGCGCAGCCACGCGTCCCCTGGCGGGACCCGCAGGCGTGCGACAGCCGCTGCGCAGCGCGCAACATCGTCCGGAGCCATCGCACCGGCCGCCATGGCTGCGCGAGACGTGGCAAGCCACGAGCGCAGCCACGGGCGCAGCGCCGCGCGCACTGCCGCTGCGGGGGCCGCAGCATCACTCGCGCTGTCGTCGGCTCCTGTCGAAGCGTCACCCCGGGCGAGGAGCGCGCCGTCGCCGCCGGCCACCAGCCGCGCGACGCCCTCGCCGGCGGCAGCGAGCTGTGGGCCCGACCACGCGCCACACTGCGCTTCGCCCAGAGCCAGCAGCCGCGCCACGTCGCCGCCCGCCGCGGCCCCGCCGCAACCCAGGCGCCCCAGCGCCAGCAGCAGCACAGGCAGTAGCTGCTGCAGCGCCGCGCCGCCGCCGCCGTCGCCTGCCCCCGAGGCGGCCGCCGCGACCAGGGCGGATGCAAGCTGGCGCGACGGCCGGTGGCGGAGCCGCAGCAAGGCGAGCGCTGCCGCCAACATCGTCTCCAGCGTGAGGCCCGATGCCGTGTTGCAGAGGGCCTGGTCCAGTCGGCGCAGCAGGTGTGCCCTCGCACCGCGCGCGGTGCCATCTGCATCCCGCCCATCCCGCTCCTCCCACTCTTCCCGCTCTGCGTCTGCTGCAGCTGCCTTGCGCGCGGCAGCGCCGGGCCGCAGGCGCAGCCGCTCGGCGCGCTGCTGCTGCGTCGCCTCGCGGATGTCGGACCAAAAGAGCTCCTGCTGTGCGCGCGGGCCGCCTGGCGGGCAGCGCGGCTGAAGGCGCGACAGCGCGTGCAGCACCTGTGCAGGCCACGCCGCCAGCGCCCCGCAGCGCGCCACCAGCTGCGCTGTCGCGCGCCGCCGAAGCGGGGGCGGCAGCGCCGGCATCAGCTCTGGCAGTGCGCACAGTGCGGGGACGGCCGCACCCCGTGGCAGCGCCCAGGCCCCGTCAGCCAGCCAGCCCACGAGCGCCGCCGCGCTGCCGCCCGCCTCGCCACCCTCCAGGCCGCCGCCGCCGCCGCTAAGCGCGCCTGGGCGCCGCAGGCGCGCGACAGACGCAAGCATGCGGGCCGCGTCGCGCGTGTCCGCCTTGAAGGGTCCCCCCAGCTCTGCTGCGCGCTGCAGCACTTCGCTGCTAGAGCCGTCCCCGTCCACAAAGGAAGCACTGTCGTCCTGCACCTCTCGGTGCTGCTGTTGCTGTAGCGGCCCCCGCTGCTGCTGGTGATAGTGCTGGCCCGTCTCCTGCCACCGCCCCCGCCCTAGCTGCCGCGCCTCCGCCGCCGTCGCCATGCCCCCCAGCGCCGCCGCCAGCCACCACTCGGGCGGCGCGCAGCCCAGCGCCGCCGCCGCCTGAAGCACCACCGCCGCGTGCCTCGCGTGCGCACCGCCCAGCGCGCCGCCCGCTCGCGGCAGCATGCGGGCCGCGGAGGCGGGCCAGAGGCGCTCCCACCAATGCGGCGAGAGGCTGAGGCGCAGCCGCGCGGCGGACCACGCCACCATGGCGAGCTCGCGCCCCTGGAACCTGCCCGCTGCCGCCAGCGTCGCCGCCTCGAACATCGCAATCCACCCGCGTGCCGGCGCGACGCCTGCGCGTGCGAGCGCCCACAGCGCCACGGCCAGCGACTGCGGGCCCCAGGCGCGCAGCTGGCGCGTGCTGCCGAGCCACAGGGCCTCCTGCCACGCCGGCGGCAGCCCCAGGCCTAGCGCACCGCCAGCCCACAGCACGTTGCACCAGTCAAGCGGGCCGAAGCGCGGCGCCAGCGGCAGGAGGGCGTCCCGCAGCGCCGCGGTGCGCTCCTCAAGCGCCAGCAGCTGCTGTTGTGGCGAGCTGGGCGGCGAAAGTGCGGCCGTGGGAAGCGGTGCCCCGTCCTCGGCCGCCGCCGCTGCCGCCTGCGCCGTGCGCTCCCGCAGCAGCAGCGTCGCCGCCGCCCACAGCGCGTTGGCGCCCTCCTGCGGCCTGAGCTCGCGGTGCCGCGACGCGCAGCACTGCAGCAGCGCCGCCAGCCAGGACGCGTCCACACGGCGGCCGGCGACCGCGGCGGCCCAGAGCGAGTTGGCCAGGCCCTGCGCTGTCATGTCCTTGGACACCTCCAGCGCCCTTGACAAGAGGGGACCGAGAGCTGCGTATGTACCCTCCTCCTCAGCGGCCACACCAAGCGGCCCAGCCTCCTGCTCCTCCTCTGCCGCAACCGCCACTGCTGCTGCTGCTGCCGCCGCAGTGCGCCGCATCGTGGCGACCGCCCACAGGCTGTTGGCCACGTCCTGCGGCCCAAACCGCCCCGCACCGCGCGCCACCGCCGCCGCCCAGCACGCGGCCCACGCCGCGCCCGGCACCACCCCCAGCCGCGCGAGCGAGTAGGCCAGCAGCGAAAGCTGCTTAGGGTTCATGCGCGGCAGCAGCGGGGCCGACGCGGCGACCAGCGCGCGGCAGAATGCGGGGGGCGGCTGCACCCCCATGAGGCTCAGGCCGTAGGCCATGTCCACAGCACTCTGGGGGTGCAGCCACGCGGCGCGCTGCCGGGCAACTGCTGCACCAGGCGCCACCCCAGCCGCCGCCGCGGACGGTGACGCTGCTGAACCAGCGGCGCCCGCGTCCGTCGCCACTGCGGCCGCGGCGCCTGCGGCGGCCGCAGCTTCCCAGCACGGCGCGGCCGCCTCCAACAGCTGCAGCAGCGGCGCGTGCGGGTCGGTGGCGGACAGCAGCTGCTGCAGCCGCTGCGCAGCTGCCCCCGGGGGTGCCCGAAGAAATGTGCCTGCGGCCGCGGCCCGCGGGTCATCGCCGGCACTGACCCCGGGCAGCATGACAGCTGGCGCGGGCTGCCGCACTGCAGTGGCTGTCGCAGCTGCCCCGCGCGCCGCGCGGGCCGTCAGGTCTGGGCCGCACAGCATGCCCAGTGAGCGCGCAACGTTGCTCAGCTGCCGCGGGGCGATGTCCTGCGGCCGCTGCAGCAGCAGCAGCTGCAGGCACGAGTGGGCGATGCGGTGGCATGCCGCAGCCTCTGCGGCAGCAGCAGCGCCCGATGCTGCGCTGGCGCCGCCGCCCCAGGCGGCCGAGCGCAGTCGGGAGCCCCTCGCAATGGTCACCGCGCGCCACAACGCAAGCGCCACGTCAGCAGCGGACAGCGCCTCCGGGTCGCGCGCGAGCAGCGCCTCCAGGTGCCCCAGCGTGCTGCAGCTATCGATTGCCTTGTCAATGGGCTGCCGATCGGCGCTGGCGCTGCTGCCCAGGATTTGCACACCCTGCCATGCTGCCGAGCCATCCTGCTGCAGCACCAGCGCGCCGTCGCCGCGTCGTGCCATCGCTGGGAGGCGCGTTGGCAGAGTGCGTCGTGCAGCGCCGCAGCGGCCTTGCGACAGCAGGAGGGGGCCGCCCGCAAGCGCCCGCTCCGGCAACGAAGATTGTGTCGGCCGCATTCAGCTACCACCAGCCTGGATTTGTCGCAGGGCAAGGGCGGGTGGCTTTGAGGTGCGTGTAGGAGTGCAGTGTCTGGTGCCGACACTACCCCACGCTCATTGCCGCGTGCTAGGATCCATGAATGCATTAGTTTTTTGATAGCAAATGCGTTAAGCTTCACCTTTAAGCCCCTGTTCGCGAAGACGATCTCTACACCATCCGTTGTTCCTGGAAAACCCCTCACAAGCCCAACTTCATAGCCCCAAGCTCCTCAAAGAATTCTCACAACCTGGTCAAGGCGCCCCACGCGGCGGTGGTTGTGTTCGCGGTGAGAGGCAGTGCGTGCCTCGCTGCCTGCCGTGCCAGTGCCAGTGTGGCTGGGATCCCGGCGGCCCAACTCTTGAGTGTTGACCCAGGCGGACTGCAGGCCGTGGAGCCCCTAGTCAAGAGGGTGCTGCTTTCAAGACAACACGGGCATGTTGGCATAGTTTGTCACAAAGCAAGCGCGCGCACAGGTGCAACACACGCCCGCTGACCCCGTCGCAGGTGGTGGTGCCGAGGTTGCGTGATGAGTTTGCTAGATGTGACAGGCAGGCCGCTTGTCTTACGTGGCGCCAGTCTGTGATACATATTCACCACATCATGCTGCACTGTTTGCAGCAGCAAGAATTGAAGGCACACCACAAAATGTATTATGGTACAGAACATCTCTGTACCACAATACATTGCAGCGCAAGTCGCCTTGTGCGAGAGCCTCGAGCACTTGCCAGCACCCCAGTCCTTGTGCATGACCTTACTCCATGGCTCCAACCAATGCGCAACTGATCTCAAATCAAATCAATCAGCACAACTGTTCAGGCCTGGCGGCGCACTCTGCGGCTCAGTGCGTGAGCAGGCCGCGGCGCGACCTGACCCCGGGACTACCAGACAAATGGGATGACGGCGCGCCGCGACTTTGGGTACGCAGGGAACTTAGACCTGTACCTGTGCTCGGGGGCGGGAGGTGGCGCTCTTGTTCGTGCATGACTGCCGCAGTCTTGCACGCTGGACGAGGCGGCCTCAACGCAGGCGGCCCAGTAGCTGGCCCCAGCTCACCATAGGTGGTGGTGCCACGCTCGGGGCCCAAGGTTGGCCAGCACGAAGAAAGAAAACGCCGCTGCGGGCGCGCTCCGGGCGGCCAGCGCCCAGCCGGCCCACTCCAGTATCTCCCCAAAGTAGTTAGCAGCAGACACCAGCTCAAAGGCGCCGCCCCTGGGTATCTTGTAACCTGGCACGCGAGGAGGGGGGGAGGGGCGTTGGCGTCAGGGCACGTTCTGAAACGTGGATTGTGGTGCTATACGCTCGGTGCGGAGTGCTGCTCGCGACAGCCAGAGCCTTCACACTGGACAATCAGCGGCTTGTCCACGGCCAGCTGCACGGCGCCTTCTAGCTGGTGCCCCTCTGCAAGCCGCGCCGCTCCCGCCCCGCGCCCTTCCGCCCAAGACTGGTCCCCCCCACCCGTCTCTCCGGGCCTCCTGAGGTTGAGCAGCACCTCGTCAGAGTGCAGGTTGACCAGCCACCCCACAGCCCACACGAGCGCGCCCGCCACCACCAGCGGCGTGATGGGTGCGCCTGCTGGGGCCTCAGTCAAGAAATACTTTGCCTTGAGACAGGGCACCAGCGCGGGGTTGGGTTTGATGCACAGGCTCAGCTGCAAGGTCGGTGATCATAACAGGCAGGCAGTAGAAAACAATTGAATCAGAAAATAAAGCACCGCGACAGGAGTGGCACGGGCGGTCCCGCCGCACAGGGTCCCGGTCACAGACCTGCATGAAGCCGTTGTAGGCGGTGAACACGGCTGCCAACAGCCACACCACAAACGGCGTAGGCTTGCCTCCCCGCAGGCGCAGCGGGTAGACGAAGCAGCGGTTGAGGTAGTGCAGCAGGAACAGGCCCAGCAGCAGCGCGTTGGCCGGGGCGCGCGCCCGCGCCAGCTGATCCGGGGTGGCAAATAACGCGAGCCACACAGTAGGGACGGCAAAGCTCCCCAGCTCCTGGGTCTGCAGGGGGGGGGATGCAAGCGGTGAGACGCGGCCTGGACCAATCTCAAAAAGCAGTCCGGTGCGTACTACGAGGTGCCAGTTGCCCGGCGGGCCCGGCATCGCAGGTTTGCATCCCAAGTGGTCCCGCCCGCCCCTGCTGCTCACCACCCACGCAACCTTGGCGTTGATGAGAAACCCCCACCCGCCGGTAGAGTACCTGCCAGGACAATGCGATCGCAGAAGGAAAGCAACACTTGAGTTTCACATGCAGCGTTGCAACCGCGTGCACCCCTGTGCATGCATGCATGCATGCTTCCTTCTGCGGCACTCATCAAGGGCCCGAGCCCGTCTACTTGCATCACCACATAAATCCCAAGGGCACCTGCCGCACACGCTCCTACCGCGAGGCGTCACCTGCCATACGGTGCCGAGATACCGCTCATCAAAGCCACCATTGCCGCCACACCGTTTGCCGTCATGAACAGGGCCAGCGTCGATGTGGGGACGGACGCGACAGCCGCGGCGACCGCCCGCGGCCAGTCGGGGGGCCCCATGCTGCGGGTCGCCTACGCTTGTAGTCCGCCTTGCGATGCTGCCTGTGCAAGCGTTAGCCCTAGCGCCACCGGTATGCTGAGGATGCCTGGAGTGCAGAGAGCAATGGTGCCGCACAGGCAGAGCCCCGGGCCGGTCGTGTGCTTGCCGTGCCAATGGTGTGACGAGGTAGGCTAGGCTGCGTTGCTCCGCGCCAGCAGCGGCTACTCCATAGACACAGTATATGTGTTATGGGGTAGATAAAATCTAGAGAGCAATAAGCGGCCTTGTATCTGCAGTGACGACGCAGGTGAAGTCTCGGTAGATCTCGCGATCTATGGGTTTGCCTGCTTCGATGCTGTATCACCCTTTTTATAAATTTTTATAGCGCTAAATGCTCGCGAACAGTTCAAACCTGGCTGCAGTGACAAATTGATCAGATGGCGGGGCAGGAGGACGCCAGCCTCCAGCAGCACGAGGAAGGGCGTGCGTCCTCCAGCGAGCTGCCAGAAGAACAGCGCGAGCTCCTGGCGCGCCTGAGGCGATGCGTGGCCGCGGCTTGCGGCGCACATGCTGACGCTCTCCTGCGACAGCTCCGCGAGGCTGAGGCGCAGATGCGGTTCCTGCGGTTTGCGGTGGCAAAGCTGTCCCACCAGACCGGCAAAAGCAAGCAGTCGTTGCTGGCACGACCCCGAGCGCAGGGCAGCGGCCCCCCTGCCGATGCATCCCCTGAGCTTGGAGCTGGTGAGGGCAGGTGCCCGCCCGCGCAGGCCCGAGGGACGGAGTGCAGCCGTGGACTGCCGCCCACCAACCCCGCTGCACCCCCGCCACTCCTCACCTCGGGCCCCGCCCCCATCTCCCAGTCTCAACATGCTGCTCCCCCCGATCTACTAGGGACCCCCGGCGGCGAGGCGCTGCTGCTGCGGGCCTTTGCGGTCACCGACACACTCTCTCGCTTGGAGACGGCCGGGCTTGCCGCGGCCGCCGGCTGCAGCGAGGGCCATGTGCGCGCCCTGTTTCGCAAGAGCAAGGGCGCGCTGCACGCGGCGCTGGACCGCGCGGGGCGGCGCTCAGAGCAGATGAACCACCAGCAGCAGCAGCAGCAGCAGCACCACCAGCAGCAGCCTGGCGCCGCCGCGGCTGCAGGGATTGCGGCCTCAGCATTCCCCGAGGGCGCTGTCACGGCCCCGCCCTCTACCCTGGGAAGCGGCATCAGCAGCCCGCCGCGGGCGCGCGCCGCTGTCCCGCACACCAGCGGTGTCGCCGGCTCCGCGCCTGCGGCAGCACTGCGTGATTCAGCAGCGGCCGCGGCCGCAGCGGTGGGGACCGCGGAGCCCCTACCAGGGCAGGACGCAGACGCGGCGCAGCGCTCCCGTGAAGTCGCGCGCTCCCAGCAGCTGGAACGCATTCACAAGCTGCTGGACCCCGCTACTGGCGGCCTTGACGGGCCGTCGAGCGCGTCCCCCTTTGTGGCGGCAATGGCCGGCACCACCGGCTTTGTGGCGCGGCGCCGCTGTCTGGCGGCCCTGCGCGCGACGACGGCGCGGGCGGTGCTGCAGCGGCTGGACGGGCGGCGGCTGCTGCACGTGCTGGAGGCGTGGGCGGCAGACGGGGAGGCGGAGGGGCACGCCACCTTTCTTGAGGAGCTCATGCGGGTGGGGGCGTGTTGGGTGGGGGGCCGTTGGGAGGGGGCGCGGTGCCGCGTGGGCCATGCGCTGCCACGCGGCAGCTTTCGGCCAAAAATGGGTGCGTTCCGCCCGCTCAGGTTGGCCACGGTAGCCTGCTGCTAAGTCGTGCGGGCGCCGCCCTTGCCGCAACAATCCATGCCGCGTGCGCGGCCCCGTGCTGTTTGCAATCGTCCATTCACATTCAACTGGTACCAACGCAAGCACGCTTGCCCTTGTGGACCCCTCACCCCTTCCACATCCTGTCATCCGGATAATCCACTCATTCGTGATCAGGTGCTGGCCCACCTGGTGGTGTCCCCAGATCACCTGCAGCGCCACCCCCTGGCGGCCGCGGTGCTGCGGCTCTCACGCAGCACAGCTAGGTGGCCGGCAGTCGCCGCAGCGGCCGGGGCAGCGGCTGACAAGCTCGGTGCGGTGGCGGCGGTGCGGGATGGCGTCGACGCGCGCGACCGGCGGGCGTTGGAGCGGCAGCCGCTGGGCGCGGCCGCGCCGGCGCAGCCCAAGGTGCGGCCGGCTGAGGCCGGGGTCGCGAAGAGGGCCGCCCTCAACGGAAGCAGTGAGGTCAGCGACAGGTTGCGGCAGCAAGGCCACAGTGCAAGCCAGCAGCAGCCGCAGCCGCGGCGCCAGGAGCGTCATGAGCAGAAGCAGCAGCAGCAGCAGCAGCAGCAACAGCGGCTGCCGCAGCAGCAGCACAAGCGGCAGCGTCACGAGGAGCAGCAAGAGCAGCCGCAGCAGCAGCACAAGCGGCAGCGTCACGAGCAGCAGCTTCAAGAGCAGCAGCGTCAGGAGCAGCAGCAGCAGAAGCAGCAGCAGCAGCAGCAGCAGAAACAGAAGCAGAAGCAGCAGCAGGAGGCACAGCGTGGGCGGGTGGCGCCCGTGCCGCAGCCGGGTGAGGCCCCCGTCAAGCCTCAGCAGCACCAGGGGACTGCCGGTCATCAACCCCACCACAACCACCACCACCACGTTGAGCGCCCCCTCTCAACAGACGCCATCCTGAAGCAGCGGCGAGTTGCGCAGATGCTGGGCGAAGGGGTTCCGACTGGCAGGGCCGTCCCTGACGGCAGCGGGCCTCACAAGCGCAAGGAAAGGGAGGAGCCGCGGGGTTGGGAAGCCCGGCAACGCACGCCGCCCACCCAGGTGGACAAGGCGTCTCCGCCGCAGGCCCCGCAGCGGGCTCAAGCACAGGTTGACAAGGCACCACCACAACAACAAGCGAAGGAGCAACAGCAGCAGCAGCAGCAGCAGCAGCAGCAGCAGCAGAACCAGCAGAACCAACAGCAGCAGCAACAGCAGCGGCAGCAGCAGCAGCAGGAGCAGGAACAGCAGCAGCAGCAGGAGCAGCGGTGGCAATCAGCACCTAATGGCGGCAGCCGCCCGCCACCAGGCGGCTGGGCCCCAGATGCACGGCGGCCGCTGCCCAGCAGGGCGCAAGACCACACACGAGAGCAAGCCAGGGCGGCGGCAACGGGACCGGCGCTTCCTACCCAGCACGCAGCCGCAGCCGCCGCAGCCGCCGCCCCGCTGCCTGTGCCGCCGCTGCCTGCGGCCCCGCCGCCTGCGCCCCCGCCGCCAGCCCCCACGCACGTCCCTCCCTTCAGGTTTAGAACGCCGCCCTTCCCACTGTCAGCCCCCATTGTCCAGCCCACCAGCGGCGCGGCGCACGGCGGCCCCGCCCCGCGCAGTCAGGGCCTTTCGGCCCTGGTGGAGCGCTTCAACGCTGAGGTGGCGCGCGACACGGCCCGCGACGCCTGGGAAGCGCAGGCGCGGCGCGAGCGGCGCGCGTGGGAGGTCCTCATCGCCGGCGGACCCTGGGCGCCGGGGGACGCGCGGCGGCCTCGGCCGCCGGGTGCGTGGCTGGCGCCGCTGGTTGTCCCCGAGGGCGTATTTGCGGCCGCTTACGAGCGCGACGCGCAGACAGGGGAGCTGGTAGTGGAGCGGTGGCCGGTGGGGGCCGGGCAGGAGTCCTTTGTGAACGGCGTGAGCATGCCGCCGCCAACCGTTAGCGCGGCGGGTGCTGCGCCCGAGGTGATGCCCTGGGACTGGGTGGCGGAGCCGGGGGACTCAGCTGCGGCGCTATTCCTGGCGGGTAGGTGGCGGGGTCGGCCCTGGGCGGGCTCGTGGGTTTGGTGGAGCGTTCGGGGCCGGGGGGCTTCTCCGGGCGGATGCGATGGCGTGCGCGCGCAGGGCACCTGGGTGATGTGGCGGGTAGGAGTACGACTGGTGGACTGCAGCTGCTCCGCCCCAAGGCAGCGAACGGCCCGACGCGACCTGCACTCCTCGGCCTTGTCCCCGGATTTGGCAACTCAGGGGTGCGCCTGCCTACGCACCTGCCGGAGGCGCCGACCCCGGAGGCCCTGGCTCAACACTGCATGCGCAAGGAGAAGGACCCGCCCACGGGCCAGCAGCTCGCACAGCTAGCGCAGTTTGCTGAGGAGCTGGCGGCCTGGCACGCGGACCAACGACAGCAGCAACAGCAGCAGCTAACCTCGTGGCGCCATCAGCAGCAGCCCGAGCAGCAGCAGCAGCCCAACCATGCGTTGGCCCCTCCCCAAGCGCAGAGCTTGACACACCAGCCCGCAGCCGACCCACCTCAGCAGCCACACACCCTGCAGCAACTGCCGCAGCCAGCTCTGGGCGCAGCTGTCCTGAAGCCTGCGGGTGGGAGCGGGGCGACGCTGTCCTTGGGGCAGGGGCCACCCGCCATGGTGCAGCTGCGGCTCCAGCCCGCCACCACACTGCAGCAGGGACAGTACAGGGTGATGGGCCAGGGGGGGTATGGGTGAGAAGATTGCCACCCGGCCGGGTGGTGGGTGGTGTTGTAACCGCTTGTCCATGAGCATGTGTTTTGGTTGAGAGTGCTCGGGCTCCAGGTGTGGTTATATAAGCAAATGGCGGGATGGATTTATTGTGACCAAAACATCACACGGACAATGATCTCAGCTTGTCATTCCGCCAACGCAACGCCAGCAGGGGGATGAGAGCGGGCCCTTGCCATGCAGGACAAACAGGTGGGTCCGCAGCAGCCAACTACCAATGCGATGACAACAATCTGGTGCATCACTAGCCAGCATGCGCCATCGAACCGTGCACGAGTGTGTCAACCTATTGGACCGGTCAAACGCACAACAGCGCCGAGGTCGAGAGGAAGGGCCCGCCCCGCAAGCAACGATTCTCCTGAGCTCGCCGTTCAAACTGAACGCCGCGATTTTTCACGTCGCAGGATTGCAAACGGCCGGCAACGCCAAAGGCAACTTCCCGCGGTCCGAGCTGCGACCAAGGACTCGGGCTGCCGCGTCGAAAGCTCTTGAGTATCAACAATGAATGCAAAAACTTCGTTTATTGTTGACGACAGTGGCCAGTGAGGGACGCCAGCCTGCCCAAAAGGTCTCAGGGGCTCAGTAACCTTGGTACGGCCGCGACCGACGGCGATTGCTTGCTGAGCCGATTCTCGGCACGAGAGAGGGATGCCGGGAGTCGATTTTCCTAGCAGCAGAACGAGCTGTAGCCCCTGCCCGGCGCCTTCCGGCTGCACAGCCGAGCCACCAAGGTGTCTGACACTCGAGGCCTGCCCTTGCTCCCCGTCAGCACTGCAACGCCGCCGCCTCAGCCCTGGCTCGGCAATCCGGCCTCTCTCCCGTCACGCAGATCCCCTGCCCCACAGCATCAAGCGACACTAGGCGGCGAAGAATCACCCGTGGAGGGGGCAAGATGGCCCTCAGGCGGCTGGTGTGCTGTGGCGTTGCCCAAGGTGCAGTTGACGCGCTCGACAATGGCGGCGGCGCCCGCGACGCGCCGCGCACGGTCGGCGCTACGCCACAGCCGCCAGAGGGCCAGAAGCTTTCTCTTCCCAAGCGGCCGCCACCGCACGCGGCCGCGCGGCGCACGGCCGCAAGCACGCTCGCCACTGTGCGGGCGACGGCCGACTCGCCCTCCGAAATGGAACTGCCGGCCAGCAGCGGCAGCCGTGCCAGCAAGGGCAGCGGCCGCTGGGGTGGCACCGCCGCAGCTGCCGCCGCCACTGCCGCGGCGGCTGTGAGCGCCGGCCAGCAGGCCTCTGGGGCCAGGCTGCGGCCGGGGGCCGCAGACGCCTGGGTCGTGGCAGGCGGCGGCCCTACGCCGACGCCGTTCAGCGCCGTGAGCGCCCAGCTGCTGGCGGGCACCCTGTTTGCCGGCCCCTCCCCCCTCACCGACCGCGCTCCCTCTCGGACGCGGTCCGCACCGGCGCCGCGGCAACATGCGGCGGCGTCCTCAGGAGGTGGGCCCGGCGATGATGACGACGACAACAGCAGTGTTTTTGAGCTGCTCGCTGGGGACGGTGCCGAGGTTGCTGAGGCCGCTGCCTCCGGCGCCCCAATCAGCAGCAGCAGCAGCGGCGGCGGCGGTGGGCCTGCCAGCTACAGCGCTTCTGCCTCGGCGCACAGCATCCTGCAGCCGGTGGTGTCGAGCCCGGCGCTGCTGGCAGGCGCGGCCAGCGGCGGCAGCTTCGGAGCGTCGCTGCGCCCAGCCGCGCTGATGCGGCACGCGACGTCGTTTGGTGCGCTGCGCCCCGCGGGCAGGCGGCCGGGCACCGCTGGCAGCGGCAGCGCAGGCGGCAGAGGTGGGGGTGGCGGCAGCGGCGGCGGCGACGGCAGCGCTCTGCCGCTGCCGCTGCCACGCCCGGCCAGCACCGGCGCCCTTCGGCGCCTAGGCACGGCCGGGGGTGCGGCGCGCCGCCAGGCCACAGAGGGCAGCCTGGCTTCAGCCTGCAGCAGCTCTGCCGGCACGTCCCTGCTGGCCGTCGCGCGCAGCCGCGCGTCAGCTGGCCGCCGGCCAGCGGCGACGGCGAGCAGCAGCGGCGGCACGTCCGGGACTGCAGTTTCGCCCGGCAGGGGCGGCAGCGGCTCAGCAGGCAGCCACGTCAGCGTCGACAGCCTGGACGGCGGCGCCGCCGGCCACGTTGCGCCGGCCGCCGCAGCGGCGGCTCTACCCCCGAGTGGCTGGCGCCTCGTCGTGCGGCGGCAGCGCTCTTCCAAGCAGCAGCATCCTACCCAGCAGCCCGCCGCCGCGGCGGGCGCCCACGACGCAGCGGCGCAGCAAGCGCCTCCCGACCCGGCGTCGCCGTTGGGCGTGGCGGAGCGCTTTGCTCGGGAGTTCCTGGCTGCGCTGGAGCGCGGGGACCCGAAGTGGGCGTCCGCGCCGGCTGTGGCGGGGCTGTTTGATGGGGAGGTGCGGCTGGTGGCGGTGGACAAGACCGTGCACGCGGGCAAGATGGCGGCGCTGCGGCGCCTCAACGGCGGCATGGAGCAGTTTGTGAAGATGATTGGCGCTTACATAGACCGCGAACACTCCAGGGGCGATGAGGACAAAGACAGCGGCGACGGCGATGGCGACGGCGGTGGCGAGGAGGCAGCATCAGGCACTGGGGGTGTCTCACGCCGGGACAGCGGCGCCAGCGGTGTCAGCCGCGCCAGCGGTGACGAGGCCGAGGGCCCCTCGTTGCGCGTCGGTTACGGCGCGGCGGGCCGCCGCCTTGCCAAGTGCCTGGCGCCGCCGACGCTGGATGTGTCGCTGCCGGACCCGGTGGGGCGCCCCGCCTCGGTGGTGGTATCTTATGGCTTCAAGATGGGCATCCGCCGGTTCTCGTTCAAGGACCAGATCGTCGTCAAGGGCGGCCTCATAGTGCGGATCAAGCGCGCAATGTGAGCCACGGCAGTTTAGAAGAGAGCCCCCCAATCGGGACGTGCGGGCGGCGGCCCAGGTGGCTGCGGGCCCGGCCGCTTGCTTCGCCGGGGGCGCACCTCCGTTGCCACGTGAGGCCTTCGACTTGACAAGGGCTGTTATGTTTACCGCAGCAGTTGTCAAACTGCCTGCGCCTGCTTTTTGTTGCGCAGCCGGGCCTGTGCCCTGCCGTCGCAGCGGCAATGCTTGACGGCGTTGCCGGTGCACACATTGCCTGCCCCTTGTCTGGGTGTTTGGCGGCGTATTCACCCCGTGGTGACAACCATGATCGGACGGCAGGCCCAGTTGTTGGGTGCCTGCATCCTCCGCTGATGAGCTCTGCGAGGGGCCACGCACTGCCCTCTGCCATCGGCTGGCCCCCTGAGCTGCCTGGGCCGTATGAGCCTCCCATGCTGCACTGCAAAGCGCACGGTCGATTGGCGGGTCGCAATGCGTGTATGCACACGCGCGTGCGAGTCTTCAAAGACCCGGACCTGCGTGCTCAGGCGATGATCGTCTGGAAGAGCAGAGCGGCAAGGCGCATCGCCTGACCCCTCATGTACTCCTCTCCGCGCTTCACCAGCATGCACCGGACAGCCACGTTTCGCCCCAGCCAATTTCAGTTTATGATGGCAGACAACTTCAGCCATATCTGGTACTGGTGTAGCTCTGGCTGTCCATGCGGATCGCACACCATTGGCCCAAAGCCCGCCCGAACAGTTGTGCAGCTGCGGCAATGGCGCATTGCGCTGCAAAATAGTTGGACCCTTTTGAAACCCCCGCCTCAGGGACCCTCTGGTTCTTTTACCCTTCTCCCTCTATCAACAATATCAATTAGCAGATTTGTGTGCAGCTTTTGAAATGCACTAGGAGTACGAGTGTGTAAAACGTCAATACTCTTGAGTTGGCGGTTGGAAACGCACCCTGCAATGCACAAGCGTGGTCACCTGCCGCCACCTGGACTACCCTGCTATCAGTTCCTGAGAAGCATGAAGCGCCTGTCTCTACCAGTCTCGACAGCAGGGCGCACCATCCGTGCAACCATAGCACGCACTCGGATGCGGGGGCATGGCGGCACGACATTTCCTGAAAATGAGGTGTGATGCAACTAGGGCAGTGCTTGCTGGGCCCACACCACGCGACAGACAGGCGGGTAAACGACCGCATTGCACCCGGCACAACCCGATCGCCAAAGTAGGCCGCTCAAAACCGCCCGGCAGCCGATGAAGGCGCCCCGCGGTCATCGCGGCGCCGGAGGCTGATCTTCGCCGCCGCCGCTGTGGCGGCGCCCCCGGGCGTCCCGAGGCCCGGAGGGCCCGACCAAGGAGCCGCTTTGGTGGGTGTTGATGCCTGCAGCCGGCCGCGCTGCTGAAGCTGCTGCTGCTGCTGCTGCTGCGCCACGCGCGCACCGGCTGGCTTGTCTGGTCTGGGCGAGGGCGCCAGTCCGCCCAGGGCGCCCGGCCCCACGTCTAGCAGGGGGGCGGGCAGAGCCGCCGCCTTGGCCGGCGAGCCAGGGGCGCTGCCGGTGAGGGGCCGGCCGGCGCGCAGCTTGGCGGCGGCCGCTGTGCTGCGTGGGGCGCTGGAGGGGCGTGCGGGGGAGCGCGGCTGCTGCTGCTTTGGCGGGGTGTCCGGGGCATCGTACACCTCACCACAACGCGTCACCTGGTGCGTGGAGGGGGTTGAGAGGGATTCCCAGTATTGAGTGTCGATGTGCCAGCAAGCCGTTCTGCCACATTTAACCCCTGACAATATCCAAGTGTGCCGCTCCACCAAATACCGCAGGCCCAGGCAACAAGGAACGCGAGCTGCTCACAGAGCTGTCGTGCGCTGCACCCCGCAAACACCCGCGACCGTGCGCGCCCTCCGAGCCCCGCTGCCCATCACGCCCGCGCCCTCCCCAGCACGTCCACCTGCGGTGCGGCATGCAGCCCCGCACGCGTCAGCAACCGCGGCTGGAGGGCCTAGCTGCATCCTTACCCCCCCTTGACCCCCGTCAACCTGCACAGCCCCTCCTGCTGAGTCCGCCCAGACCACAGCCGCGCCACAGCCGAGCCCCCACCCCCACCTCACCCCCTGCCACCTTCCCCAGCCCACCTGCACCGCCTGCCCCAGCGTCCTCCAGGCCGCCACCTCGGCCACGCGCGCGGCATCCTCTGCGCGCCGCACCGCGCCCTCCACCGTCGAGTGCCATGCCTCCAGCAGCTGGCGCCGCCGCGCCGCGCGGAACCGGGCCAGCAGACGCACCAGCTCCCAGCGGTGCAGCGCCGCGGGGTTGGGGGC